GGACCTTAAAAAGATGGAAGGATTCCACATGGTGCATGGTGGTTATCTAAATAGTCTAACAGTAGTTGGCGCCAGTTGTCTAAATAAGAATGGGTACAACTTAAGAGCCCCGACTGCAGCAACAGGCAGAGATCCACCATTGTTCCCCTGGCTAGTTGAATTGACCCCGGCTCCTTGAATTGCTGCTCCGTTACACTGCCTTTTTGAATCAGTTGAGTTGTGGTGCGAATGCCGTGCACGTGATTTTTCGCCGCAGCTGGGAAGTATTGGCTCAAAGTCAGTTGAAAAAAAATTGCTCATACTACTGAACCTCAACTGTAGAGTCTTCCTGCTCTATGGAATTTCTTGTAGATTTTCATAAATAACTTCAGTTTAGGTAGCTATTGTCTTAATGGTGGTCGGTGTGTTCGTGGATTGTCGACAAACCATTGCGAATGTGCTGGCAATTTCACTGGTACTCATTGTGAACGCAGTACTGTCGTCCCGCTTCAGGAACCTTGCGATTTGAATCCATGTCTGAATGGAGGTGAGAATTCACCCATTCCACTCAGCACGTACTCTCATAAAAAAAGAGAAAATTGAAGTATTGGAAGTTTGGTGTGACGAGGAGATTACGGGTCACATACTGAAACCAGGTGGGAGATTCACGTGAAAGAGGTATGAGTTCCAGCTGAAGTTTTCAGGTACTTGCCACGTTGACGATAATATCGCCATATGTGAATGTCCGGTAGGGTTCGCAGGAGAGAACTGTTCGGAGCAGCAGGCAACAACCTCGTCATCATGTACGACCAATCCATGCCAGAATGGTGGTAGTTGTCAAGCTGTGGGAGGTACGGAATACAAGGCCAAGCATTTGTAGTTCCTCGGCGCTAGACGTTGCCGCGGGTGCGGTTGCGTCGCGGATTTGCTTTGCTCCAGAAAACTGTCGAATAATTTGTTCACCAGTTTTGTTATTTATAAAATTAGAGACATGTAACGCAATCGCACTAATGGAAACGTTTTATTTGCCGAGTAATTATTTTGCTAAAGTAAGACATAGTTTAGTCCTGCGTCAAAATCATTTTTAGATCCGCTAGAAGATGGATTTCTGTGCAGCTGTCCGATTGGATTCGAGGGGAACCTATGCGAACAAGTGGTAATACCTTTGAATTAAAGGCAGCGTCCGCGATCAACCAAGTGAAAAAACCCTGCACTGTACAAGATCGCGGAGTCCACAACCACAGCGGATATCCCACTCTTGCGGCTCGAAATCGATTGATTGACGAAGGCGGAGTCAACAATGCTAAGCTGACGCCGCCTGTCCTGTTAATCCCGCCCCGACTGGTTAACAGTTGTCAATCCTCGCTGGCATTGATAATCGCTAAATTCCTAGCGTTCGTTTCGTACACTGATAGAGAGATTAACTCATAGACAGATCGATTATCAATGCCAGCGTGGATTAGATTAGATAAGATAACCTAGGTAGTGGCCTCATGAGAATTAGCCGCAACGAGGCGGCGACGTGTTTTGGAGAACTCACCCAAAATCTGCGAAACTCGTCCAGATGCCTTAATCGAATAGGGTCTTATTCTATGTTCTTGCAGCCCTTTTTTTCCTACTTTTTTTGAATTGCTTCACTTGCCACCTGTTCTAACAAATCTGACCCCTAAAACCTGCCAAAGTCCATCGCGGGCGCTGTCTTTAAAAGGAGGATATAACGACGCGCTCAAGCCTATCTGGGATCTGTTTAAGGCCTCCGAATGGCAATCTTCCGTTGAAGAGGTCACCCTACTGTCAACTGGTCCAATGAGTTCCGACGTTGTGCCGACGACGACTACCTCGACTACCTCGACTACATCGACATCGACTACCTCAACTACATCGACTACTCAACTACATCAACTATCACAGGTGAGTTCAAGTTAATGTCCAATTATTGCCGCCCACCGTCTCTTCATAATGAATAGAATTGAGAAAATAATGTTGGCTTTGGTGCGCCTCCTATTTCAATAAATAAAGGAAATAAATATTTTTTATCAGGAAACACTTGGCATGAAATTTTATTTGAGATTGGCTGTGATATGTGCGTTCACTCGGACAGATGCGTTGAGTCACCTTCGGGAGCGCTGTGTGTCTGCCATGCAGGATACCAGGGGAATCGCTGCGACCAACCAGGAGAGGTAAGTGTACCCGTCAAAACTTGGTCAGATTTAGTGGTCCATATTAAAGGGCAAAAAGGGTGTGTTCGGGCGACGGATTGGAGGGCAAAAAGGGGTATTCGGGCGACGGCTTCGTATTCCTGTGCTGTTTCTCTTATGCTCACTGCCTCTCTTTCCTCTCCACTCTTGCAGCCTTGCCTCTTTACTGCCCTCAGATATGGACTGTACTCAGAAGTTGCCGTGGTTTCAACTTCTCATAGCATTACCAAATGTCTGGAAAACTGTATTTCGATCTATACTTTACCCAGGAACTCAGTGTATCCGTTTCAGCCGTGTGATTTGGTGTCCTGTATTCGTCCGCTGGTATGTCAGCCTCTTATCGCAGTCAGCGGAACTCGCACCACGTGCAAATGCCCTATAGGATGGACTGGTCCCAAGTGTCTGCAAAACACTGCCGTGTCATTCGACGAAAGCAGCTTATTTATTCATCAAAGTCCTAGCGTTATGATTGGGTAATTTTTGAAACTTTCACGAAAGGGTGTCTTCAAACGTGGCCGTGCAGTGCCACACGCGTCAGAGCCACATTCGCGATAACTGAATGGGCGGAGACAGGGGACCAGCGGCAAAGAGCTGTGGTGTGCCAGAAGTGGTTCTCTGATTTCGCACATGCCAGCAGTGCAGAATGTGCCTTCAAGATTCGCCGTTCTTTGATCGCACAGTTACAGCCGTGCGATTTGATGTCTAGTCTAGTTATCTCCTGGAGGTTTTCCTACACCATAACTTTTCAACTAATACTTACCGTATCCTCTCCTTTAGGTCCTCTTCCGGTCCTTTGCCGTACTCCTTATCGTTTGCCATGCGGACTACTGCTCCTACAGTGCACGTTGCATCTGGGGAGAATATTTTTGGCCAGCAATTGTTTTCTATTGGTCTAAGCGAAGGACAATTAGTGGTTACCGTTCATGGAACTACTTTCAATAAACTCATCCCCTTCGTCATTAACGATGGTGCTTGGTATGCCGTAAAACTAGAGAAAAGTGATCAGGTTAGTACCGTACAAGTATTTGGTAATAAATTAACTGACGGAGCTGAATAGACAGCCTGTTGTCATGTTCTCCCTGCTTTTTTGCAAATTTCAACTAGTTTCAATATTCCATGCCTGAAGATAACCATCGTTCCCTTCCCAGGATGTGCTTATCTCTGTAAATAATGAAGCTGGTTATCAATTACTGTCACGTTCATTGCCTCGTATGACATCATTCGATGTGTTTGCTACTCGTGTTGGAAAAATTGGCGATTCTGAATACTTTGTGGGCTGTTTGGCGGATTTCAGCCTTGACGAAGGCAACGCTATTAACCTCGCCATGTCCAGTAGAGGCACTGGTATCACGCAAGGTTAGTTAACGTTTGAGTCTTACAGATTCCTGTCTCTTCTTAGAATCATCTGCAACGCAGCCGGCATTATTTGAGGCATTTTCTGTAGTTTTTTTGTTTCTTGGGGGGGGGGGTGAGGCAACTGGCATATACATCTTGGTTTTGATCCTCGCCCCTTACAACTTGCAATTGTGAAATGGTCCTTTAAAGGCACATTCCGCGATAAAATAAGGCTATGACCTCTCAAATGTGTCGGACGATCCGGAAGGCGATTTTTGAGGCTGCGCTACTTTCAAAATGTGAAAAACGGCAAGAACTCCGCTAGAAGCTGACTAATTAGCTGACTAATTAGGCCCATGGACACCCCTTAGGCCCATGCCGACCCTCACCGGCTACTAGCTAGTAGCCACTATGTTATCTTTCTCTATAACATTTCGGACTGCTTTTTCTGCTGCTTTTCTCCGCTAATCAGATACTTAGCACTTTTTTGTGCCTATTTGAGTTCCGTTTCCCGCAATTTGCGGTCGCGAACTGTGCCTTTAACTCAGCCTTCTCTATTTGGTAGTCCACAGTCGCGGGCCATGCCTTCTACATAGTTGGGAAAAACCCAAAGTGTGCCTGTAAGTGCCGAGAATTTCTCTAACGAGTCTTCGAACGTGCAGTTTCCGAAAAGGGAGTGAAATTGTCCCTGGAAGGAAAATTACGTATCCGAGCACAAAGAACAGTTGTCTTTAAATAGGTATATTGAGCTTTCCGGGTTGAGAGGCGCGAGCATCGTGTGTGCTACAAACTTGTGATAGATTCCATGGGGTATGTGAATCTCGTAGGGATGCCTCCCTAAAAATTCAACTTCGCTCGTTTTGAGCACTTTTAAAATCGAGATTTCAGGGTGTAAGCATGAAGTGCAATGCTCAAAAAATCCATGTCTCAATGGAGGCTCATGTCTTGATTTCTGGACACATTCCTCATGCATATGTCCTCCACCATTTCTTCCACCGTTGTGCATGAATTCGCTTCCGCCAAGCACATTTGGCCATCTCAACCAGACTTCATTCGCCGAAATAACGTTCGTTTATTTTGAGATTCAGCTTTGATATCCGCATTTCCGGGGATATGCCACCAGAGCTTATTCGTGGCTAACTGTTATTTAGTTTGGCGGAAAGCCATATAAATTTTAGTGGTTATTTTCAGCATCCCTTCAGAGATGTCACAAAGTCTACGGTTTTCCACTGCGATCCAAATGATACTGAGATCGAATCAACCGAATGGCACAGTGTTGTTTCTTGGAGAGACAGGCGACGATTTGGCTACGTTTATATCCATTTCATTGGTTGACGGACACGTCGTTGGTGAGTGGTTCTTATCAAGTTACTCAATCGTGGGCTATTGCTACGCAGCTTAGCCCACGGTAATGCCTGCTGCCAGAGTTTAGCGGGAGTTTTTCCCCACCCAGTAGGATAGCATCAGTTACACAGCCACTGTTGTCATCCTCCCTTTCGCTTTACCTTCGCTTTCTTCTCCCTGGCTGTTCCTGAAGATGTATCTCTATAACAGCTCGTCTATAGTGGCCATTCACTGTTTACCTATTTACAACATTTCCATGAAAATGGCTGTTTGCAGTTCGCTCTCGCGCTGGTAGTAAAACTGTCCACGAGTTGAAGTCGCATAGGGTGGTGACCGATAACAAGGACCATATTATACGGGTGCGACGTCAGAGGCGACAAGTAAAGGTAAGCGGTCAGAATAAGATGTTCTACGTGGAGATATACTGATGTTTTCTTTCAGCTGGAAATTGATGAAGTCCTCGATTCGGAAGGGACTATACCATCACGATTTGATCATCCATTATTCGCTGAGAGGCTTCAGCTGGGCAGCGGACGAAACGTAACAGATGACGCTTTCACAAACGACAACACTTTCAAAGGTTCGTAGAAGAACTTGAATCGCTATCGGAGAGTTTGTCTCGTCTTCACTGCGTTGCTATACGTAATGCAAGAGGTCACGGACCGCAGGCATGCGCAACACGTGCTTCCAAGCACGAGCAGGATGAGGCTGGGCAGCCGTCGCAGTGCGTCACTCAGATAGTTCATTCGTAATTTGTCATTCAAAGGTTTTCTCGTGCACAGCTAAATTTAAAGCGGTGGACTCGAAAATTTTGCCCAAATTCAATGGAGGAATGAGCCGAGGGATAAACTTATTTTAAAGTTCCATTCGGAAGCAGCTGATCCAAATTTTAAGGATCCTTCAAATGCCCCCCCCTCCCTTCAAGCCCATTGACGCCTTGTAATCTGAGAGTCTGTTCACTCGAATCACGCATGGCTGATGGCCGCTCAGCAGTTCAGTTTCCGAATTTTGAGTTCCAAACAACCCACCATTGTTTCACTTTCATGTGTACACACTGATTTTCACCCACTTTGTGCGATTTTGACAAATTTCAACCGACCCTTGTACCTGACCAAAATCATGGCTGTTTTTCAGGATCTCTGCAAGACATACGAATCAACGAGAAGTCGGCTGTTCTCCATGAGCCCACTACGTTCGCTGTTGAACGGCTCGGCGATGTTGCGGATCTTGAAAATGTACTTGAGGTCTGTCTCTATTCCCCTACTTTTCTGTGTTGTTATGCAAAGTATTTTGGAGAAGTAACCTCGTATGCTGTTTTGCAAATACACCGCTGCGCAACCGCGCGTCTCAGACCTACATAACTATTACCGAGCCTGTTCGGAAGTTATATCAGGATCAGTATGTTTTTTAGGGCACAATTTCTGATGATATCTGTGGCATGGCTGATCAATGTGTTCATGGATCATGCCAAAACACATTCAATGACTTCGAGTGCCGTTGTCAGAAAGGCTATTTCGGTAGAAGATGTGAGCGTAAGGACCACTGCATGGATTCTCCTTGTCCAGCCGGAGGAACGTGCGACAATGTTGGCAACGGATATATATGTAAGGCATAATTTTTTTCTAGGAATTACTGATATCTACTACTTGACTACATTTTCCCTATAAATAATTCAGCGTTTCTTTTTCAGGCACATCACCAGTGACTTTGAAGACAGTTAGCACAGCTTCTTTCAAGATGTCTGAACCTATCGAAACGAGCTCCGTTGTGAAACTCTCTATAAGAACCCATTCTGAGAACGGACGCATTTTGACTTTGGTAATTCCTTGTAGTTGTAGGCTATTTCAGCTGATATCGGCATTTCTTAGTAATGTAGATGTGGTTTAAGAAGTCAGAAGAAGGTTCCTTCACGTTGTCACTGACAAATGGACAGCCCGTTGTCATCGGTGTAGTCCCCGTGCCCATTCGAAAGACAATCGCTGATGGACAATGGCATAAACTCGAGCTTAATGAGAATGTTCTCTATGTGGATTCAGCAAGCTACGGTAAAATCCTTTGGTACCTTCGTCAAAAATTTCTTACTAGAGTATGTTCAAGAAGGATCAGGTTGGGACTCAACCGCACAAGTTGAACTACTTGAGCGAGCAGGAACACAACGCAGTTCTGCCTGGAGCACGCGGTGCGAAATGTGCACCAAAGCACCCGTGGCAAAAAGAATTTGATTGGTCTTATTGTTTTAGGTCTGCCCGAAATGGCCCAACTACCTTCTCGAATTCGTTCAGTCATGTTGGAGTTCGGAGCTGTTGACGAACCTTCTTTTGATGGTTGCCTCAAGGACATTACGATCGGAGAACTTCCACGTCTATCTTTTTATAAGGGCGATGAATTTGGTCATCCTAGCAATGTTACTTTCTGGATGATTGATAAGCGTGTCAAGGTAGGGTTCAAAACAAGTTGTGCACAAGCGCAGTCCATATCCCGGCAGAAAGTAAGTATTTACGGACAGTATGAGGCGGTGGACATGGGCAGTTCAGACGTTCAGGTGGAGAGGGGTGACTTGAAATTTTTTTTGTGCCCTCCACGTCCACTCGCCCCTCTTATAGTCTGTGGACACCTTCCGTCGCTGAGATATGGATCGCAGTTGCGCAACAGAATACGAGCTATTTTTTCAACTTATTTTGTTTAGGTGGCCACGTCATGCCTGTCATCACAACAGTGTGGGGAGGCTTCACCCTGTATTCGAGGTGAATGTCATGACTTGTGGAACGCCTACGCATGTGAATGCCCACATGGATTCGAAGGGACACATTGTGAGGTAAAAAGGGACGAGTGTGCAAAAACTGAATGCGGGAGAGGGCAGTGCGTCAATGGAATCGAAGGACCCAGGTAACTTCGGTCTCCTTTGCTATCAAATTTGTTGAACAGCGCAGTTATTTCTGCGTGAATGCGCGTGCTGATGGAAGCGAGTCTGAGTTATTCAGGAAAAAAAACGTGGCTTTTTTCTACGTACTTCCTATACAATCCTGTTCTGTGCAGACTTTCAGGAGGACTGTGTTTGGTGCGGCCAGCCAGCTTTCTCTTAACTGTGGTCGACTGCCAGCTTTCACAAGGTGGTGGAGAACAGGCTAGCGTCACACCAAACTCATCTCCATACGCCCCACTGAAACTCCCTGGCCGCTCTCCGCATAAACAAGACTCTAGATATCGGTCCTCAGTAACGATGTAATTTTTTGTTGAGGTGCTTATCTGACGCAGATGCCTGGAATTCGAGCCAAGTTTATGACCCAAAGTATGCTAGTGTCTAGTGAAAATCTATTATCCTTGTTTTAGGTGTCATTGTGACCTTGGGTTTACTGGACAGACTTGTGACGTTGAGATGGACTTGTGCTCCTTGATCCCTTGTAAGAATGCTGGTCTATGCACTAGCTCCAACGGAAACTACACTTGTGAATGCAAATCAGGATGGACCGGCAAGTCCTGCGACATTCGGGTGAGACATAACCAGATTAATACTATATGTACATTGTCTATAGAATCCTCCTAAAAATTGACCAGGATATTTCTTCGCAGCTTTTTTACCCGCGGCACAGGGGTACGGCCAGGTCTTTGGCCAAAAAATACTTTCATCTGATTTTGGATTTCGAGCAAGGACTTCAGAGTGGAAAGCACTTGGTTCTAGATGATGGTCAGGTCCCTGACACGCTAGGCTTGGCTGGTGGTGTGCGTCCAGCCAAAATTGGCTCTTCATACGTGATCTTGAAAAGTTAGTAGGGTGTAGAACATCCCGTTAAGAACGATACTCCGAACATGCTAGAAAACAAATTTATGTAAAGGACATACTACTTCAAGCAATACTTGCAGGACCAATCGGTGTGCTCTGACAAAGCCTGTAACAACGGTGGCACCTGCGAAACTGTGAGTAATGGACTTTCCAACTCAGTATACACTTTAATCTGAATCAGTTTCCTGTTTAGGATGACGGCGGTGGAATAAAATGCATTTGCAAGGCCGGATTCTTTGGTAGATTCTGTGAAGAGCGCATAGATCCCTGTGCAGGGAGACCATGCGACCATGGTTACTGTAAACCATCAGATTCAGCCGACTTTGAGTGCGAATGCGAAGAAGGTAATAGTTGTTGGAACTAGAACAGATTCTATGCTGATCATCTTGAGCCTGATTCTGCTTTGCCACGAGCTGATGCCAGTTTTGTGCAGACATGTGTAAAGCCCGTGGGGTGACTCGTCGCTACTGGTGGGTCGCTCGTGGCCGTCATTCACAGGCACCATTCACTCTTACGGCATGCTCAGTTCGGACCCCAAACCATCAGATAATTGGGCGAAATGATAAAGTGCTACCTGAACTGGTATTCTATCAGAGCTTACATTCCAGGTTATACTGGTAAAACCTGCTCGGTGCTCTCCGATATGTGCACGACATCCTCATGTAGTGGTCGAGGACGTTGCGCACCTGTATGGAATGCGACAATGTGCACATGTGACAAGGTAAGGGATTATGATGGGCTCAGAATGATAGTGAGTACGAATGCTGCTTTCAGTAAATGGAAGTTTCATTACAGTTTCATGCTGTTTTGAGCGATCGCTGAGCCCACATACACTCCTTATACCAGAGATAGTCCGGGCGTGGCGCGTACCATCTTTGAACATGGCGTTGATACCTACTGCCATTCGAGGCAGCTATCATCCTGTTTTGTGCTAGACAACGAACGATGGCTTCAGAAAGCCTACATCCCCACTATGAGGAATCGCCCCACGTTCAAATGAAGTGCGCAGTCACACCCACTCCAACTCCGGGATATGGAGTGTACCTAGTTATAGGTCATCCATTCAACGTGCCGCTACATATAGAGGAATGGCAGAAAAGCGAAAGGGGATAGAGCAGCGGGCTACTATACCATTTGGAAGCTAGTACCTTAAGCTGTGTATCTGTGAAATTTGGCGAACCTAGCCCCAGAAGAAGTTCTCGAGAAATTGAAAAGAAGCCCGAGTGGTGAAAATCGGCGCCGGTTTTTCAAATCAGACGTCATAAGAGGAAAGTGCGCTGCTCAAATTTGACCTGCGCCGGACCATAGTTGTGTGTAAGGGTGTTCTCGAAATACACGGTGGAAGATTGGTTCAGGAGCCCGTACAAGGAAGAAAGGAAAAAATTTGTTGTCGGGTGGTCCCGGCTAGATAACGGAGCTCCTTGATATATTCATCCTGCACAAGAAAACGGGTGGATGAAGTCAGGCACTGAATATCTGATCACAGAGCCTGGACCCTTGTCGAGCTTCCCCGCGAGTCTGACATCCCAGCTGCAACTGCTGCCCGAGTTATGTCCGATAAACGGAGGATGGTCAAGAGGGTGGCGCATGGGTACCCAATTTTCTTATAGAAGCACGAACGCAGTACCGATTCTATACCTCCAGCAGTAATGTTCTCCAGCATGAGATGTCACTCACAACTGTGAAAACGCAGGGGAAGCGCCGGCCGCTTAGATGAAATATGGGTGGTCTCGGACCTCGAGTCGAAACTCACAATCGTCAATTTTCTATGAATGCAGATGAGAAGCCGCCCGAGTTCTACCATGAAGAGTTACGTGGGCGCAAGTGGATGATCATCATAGCAAAGGATTCCCACACTGTGGCTTTCAAGCGGCTCTATACAGAGAATAAAATCGTCGCTGTCGGTGTATATTGCCTGTTCCTCGGCAATCATATCGACAAATGGATGATACCACACAACTACAAGAAGGCCACCTTGCTCGTCATAGTGCCAGACCCCGAGTAACTGTATTGTAGATCAGTGCTGGACAAACAATACTGAGACCTGGGTTCAATCGCCCCATTCGCCCGTCATAAAGCCATGCGATTACAACTGTTCTATTCAGGTTGAAGCACGTTAACTCGGCAACGGCAGACGCTACAATGTTTTGTCATTTGCCGAAATTGGCAACAACAGCAATTTACCCACACTTATTGAAAAATCGAAGGTACCAGAGGTCCAAAGGCCCTCGGGGCACTGGGAGCGGTTCATCGTGCGAAGAGGATTTACTCATTATATAGCTAAACTATCACTTTTCTAATTTGTTCTCTCTCTTTGTTTTTATTCATAAAAAAAAGCCAGCGGCACGGTGTTGAATGGGATTGACTCTAAATCGGTGTAAGTTTTGGCGCTGCCTGCTCCATAACCGCGGCGAATTTTTTCGGAAGTTCACTTGATCTGAGATGACTCAATATCTAACAATGGCTGCCACTTATGCTCTTAGCATTTGTTCCTGCAAATGACTGTAAGCTGAAAAGCATAGCGTGGTCGATACAGTTACTGGTTACAGCGTTGGAAAGGAGCCGCCTGTACTCATCTTGTTGATGAATGTTTGTCGATTCCTTGCGAGAACGATGGCACCTGTGAGACAACCGAGGAAGGTTTCAAATGTCATTGTAGGAAATATTATCTAGGTAAGCATTCTACCGTTCCAGGAACAAGGAAAACGGAAATCGATAACTTATTGGTGCAATCTCGGTAATCTAATCATCGCAGTTGAATCAAACAGTTTTAGGTGACCGCTGTGAACTGCAAGGTACTTGTCTTACACATCCGTGTGAAAGAGGTGAATGCATCCAGCTTTCATATGATAGTCACTCCTGCAGTTGTCCTAAAGGCTACGAGGGAACGAGATGCGAGGTTTGTCCCTTCTTTTACTGGATTTCAGCCGGCAAACTTATGATCTTACTAGGGATGGTCGCCAGGTCGAAATGGCCATTTGTAAAGAGACGTATATCATGGGGCGTGTTTTTGAACGCTGATTTCAAATCAGCCTTCGAAATTTGCAGAACCCTTCCCTGAAAGGAATTATGAAGGTTTATTAGAATTAAAATGAAGTTAGACGGAGTCAGGTGCGGTTGCCAGCCATTTGCATGAATAGCCGCGAAGCCCCTCTACACATAACGGCGGCATGGTGTAGTGGTAACGGTCTTGCTTCGCAGGTGTGTCATGGAGGGTCCCAGTTTTTGGGAGAGGACTTTTTTTGCATTTCGTGAGGAATGTCGCTTTTGAGTCTAGAAAACACTCATACGCCAAATGGTTGTCATATTCGTGTTCAGAAAGCAAAACTACCCTTGGGAACAGATTTCTAGCCAGATGTGAGGTTTTGACCTAACTTTGAAAAGTGTGGTAGCAGTTTATCCAGTGATGGTCACCAACAGCTCCAGGGCCAGTCTCTTGTCGCTTGCTTGTCTTTGACGGAGCGGATTTGCTTTGTGTTGCATACCAGAAAAACCGGAGCAGTAACAACATGAATGCGTAAGAAGTGGCAAGACGAGGCTTTGTGCAGGAGAATGTCTCTGCAGCCGAATAGGTGTGAACATCAACTGAACTAACCCATGGATTCTTCACTTCGAAGGGTCACATGCCAGATTTGGCTAGAAACCCCTACCTAGGCGTAGTTCGCGCCGATGAGCACGATATATGACACTCGCCTCAGCGCAAAACCGACTTGACTGGGCGTCCAAGGCACCTGCACGTCCCACAAAGTGCTCCTAGATCACAAGGCACCAAGTGCGCCAGTAAGCGAACGCAAACTGTTTTTCAGGCAAGTTTAGGAGAGCGCTAATGTAGTAGTGACGCTACAACCACTTTTTGCCACTTTGCGCAAGAAGCAAAAAAGGAGCTCAGCAGAGAGCCGATCTCAGGACCAGTTGGCGTGGTTAAATAGCAGAGGAAGAAGCTCGATAAGACTTCCGTTCATAAAATCGTTCTGAATGTAACAGATTGAGATCAGTGCTCTAAAAATCACGTCCAGTGAGCTACATCTCATTACAAATGACCACTTGGACCTGGCGACCTTCCCTAGTTAATGCTAAAATCTCTGTTTTCCAATATTCTGAATGCAGCGAGTATAACACGCCCTCCATCATGCACAATTTTTCTTTTTTTTTGTCTCGACAATCACTGTGCTGCGTCGAGCAGCGACAGCGAAGTGGAAACCTTGCAGAACCTTGTAGTCGCGGTAAACAACTCTCAGAGGTCTTATCACAATGTGTGAAACTCTCAAGAAAGTTTTAAAGATTCCAAAAAACTCAAAAGACAGCAAGAGTCTCAAAAGTTTTTTAAAATATATCTTATCTGGCTGTATAAGATATATTATATTATTGGAGGCCTGGAAATACGGCTAACAACCCGAAATAGAACAAGGGGGAACTACGTGACATTAGCAAGTCTGTAATAGTGATCGCGTCACATCCCACTATTTAAGGGTGTGGTTAGGGTGGGTTGGCTAATTTGCCAGGATATTTCGGTAAGTGCCTCGTATGGGGGAGTCCGTGCGGGTTACATCTCTGTAGGCTCATATTCTGCATAAAACAAGCTAAATAATTTCAGGCCTGAAGAAGGTGCTACGCACCGAAATATAGCCAGATAAGATATATTTAAAAACTTTTGAGACTTTTGCTGTCTTTTGAGTTTTTTGGAATAAACTTTTGGAGTTTCACATTGTTGATACACATTCAGATGAGTAATGAGACTCCGGGACAGCACCATACTGACCGAAATCCTCAGAGCGTTGTTTCCACTCGTTCATACGAAATTCATTGTGTGGCAAGGGCGCAACAGCACTGTTAGTCCAAAGGTACGCCACCCCTACTGGTTGTCCTTCACATCTGGGGCTTGGAATGTGCAAGCGATTCAGATCTATAAACAAAGGTGCAACGCATTTCGTACTTTCTATAAGACCGACCATCGTCAGGATCGCCTCTCGTCCTTTGCTCTCACGTGCCAACAATGTCTCGCTCCTTCGAATACTCATCCAAATCTGGCCCTTATTTGGGATGTGTTCAACAGTTTTGCCTCTCTTTTCCTCGCTAGTAATTTGGTTGGTATCTAGGATTCCATACTCGGATCTCAGAAGCTACGAGTTGTAATTGCTTGTGTCTTTAAGCCTCGTAGATGCCTTTGCAAACAGATCGTCAGCCGGAATAGTTCACTGATTTAGCTATATGTAGGGTTTATCAGGTCTCAAATGAAACTGTTGATTTCTTCTCAGTTCTATTATAAACTTACTTTCAGATGCGAATAGATTACTGCAAGCGAAATCCGTGTCTCAATGGTGGATCGTGTGAGTCTCTGATTGGAGAGCATAAGTGTCACTGTATCAACGGCTTCACAGGTGATTTCTTCAAGTTTTCGAGTTCAAAGGGGCTCACTACAGGTGGGACTGAATCGCTCCCTACACTTTCTAGGCGAGTGCGCTAGCTGGTAAGTTATCAGGACTGTATCTTACCCAATCGGCTTAATGACTTCTATGGCGTCGCCTTGCAGCACTTCTGCGTTCAGCATAAACATGTCCCGCCTGGAGTCAAGACTTTTGCCCATAACTCGCTTTCTTGTGATACTAGAAGTATTTCAGGCGCGAGCTGTGAGACGGACATTGATGAGTGCCTGCTCGGCTTCTGCGCTAATGGTGCGAAATGCCGCGATCGTATCGCCGATTACGAATGCATTTGTGATGGGACAGGATTCACCGGTGGGTCACAAGTTTTGAATATCTGCTTACCGTATTTGGACGAACAAGGCTTCTGGAAGAAGGGCCCTCACTGCACTCACCGGCATACTGATAAGAGAACACTCAGCTTGACCTCTGGCCCAAGCGCTTGGTTGAGTCCTAAAAGGGTTCATGGCTGATTTTCTTTGTTGTTGAATGCTCTAATTGTGAAAAGTCTGCTCGAAAGAGTAACAATCTAGTAGTGTAATGTGGTCTGGCGAGTCCAGTCTCGTCCAGTCCAGAAGGAACTTCTTAGCCCCTTTAGATAGCTTTTTAGGCAACCAGACAGGGAAACAAGCAAATAGAGGGAGCCGTTTGAAGATTCGTAGGACGACAATTTCGAAAATTAGTGAATCATGAGTGGATTGGAATCCCACTCACATTACACTTCGTGAGCTCCACCGTGCCAGGGCCCCAGACTGGAACTTATAGATGTCGCGGCTTGCATTTGTAGGCAGACTGGTGCCATTATTGATATGACGCACATTAAAAACCAGTTTAGACACTTATCTTCACCATACGAGTCGCTATTTTTGTCGATTTCCAATTTTCTTTTGTCACTCTTGCAAATATAAATTTGTAGGAAAGAACTGTACGATAGACATCAACGAGTGCAGCGTTCCATCGAATTGTGTGAACGGTCAGTGCACGAACACTAGAGGAGGATACAGATGCGATTGTGAGAAAGGTTTGATATTTTGTGGTTATCCTGTCCATATCCAAGCCCTATATGTATATGCATATATTGTAGGGTTTATTGGTTCTCGTTGTACTGTAAGGGATCCATGCCGACCTGATTCCTTCAATCGAACAACACACATGTGTGTCCATGGTGTTTGCATCAATCCTGTTGTCAAGGTATAAACCCCTTTTGATCGTTAGTAGTACTTCTGCGCACGGAACTTCCTTGGAGAGCCTTTCTACGAGAGTGCGGTAAAAGTGGGATATATTATATTTTCGGAAGTCGAGAGAAGGCACGGTTTCTGGTTCTTAAAGGCAATTGGTACGATGAAACCCTAAGACGAACGAGGATTAAACGCCTGCCAGGATGGAATTCCCCCCCCCCCTGAGCAGGCTCTGCGTAGCGCATTCTCCGAGGAAGGTCCCCCTTGAAAGCTCTATCAAGCTGCAACATACAGACCCGAACGCCCACCGCGCCACGAATAACGACCTGATGCTGGTAGGCTTCATTTGCGAAGTAAAATATGAAGCGAAGGGATTGATATGAAGCGGCCGCGGTGCTGCATGGATATATGAGTACATACGTGCAGCCGTATCTACCGTAGCGGTTATTGGCACGATGCCTACGGGAAACTCGTCCGAAATTGCTTTTGAGTCATGAAGAACAAAGGCTTTTCTTCGCAGGTTTCCGACCTTCACGTTTCACTTTGTTGTTTTTTTTTCGCCATTTTCCACAATATAGCACCCTGATAGCATTCAAGACCGACTACCAAATTGTCGTATGCCTTTGAATATTGTGTTCAATATATTGCAGGTCGATAGTGCAGGTCGTGAAACGGCTATGCATGAATGCAAATGCAGTCGTGGCTATACTGGACCGCAATGTACAACTCAGGTAGGTTTTCGAAGGTTTCTGCCTAGAAAGGAAGTTCTATTCTCAGTAAAAGTGGAGCGTGGGCAAGCTATAACGAGTGTTGTCATTGTGGCGGGTTTTTTTGCTAGAGAACGTTGTGCAGGCAGGGGAAACCCCAGTCCGAAGGTAGGTAACCTGGGTGCGCATCGACCCAAGAAGTCCCTTTTAGCGGTTCGAAAATGCACAGGGAGCAAGCTGCGGGCTTACCCTCTACTGGTATTATGCCCATAAGGGCTCTTGTTGCCAGTTTCAAGGTACGCTTGATATCCCAAAGATGTGGAATCCGTGGTTGCGTACTTCACAGTGGCGGCACTGTTCTTGTGAAGGAATGTCTCGAAACAGTTGCAACGATGACTTTATCCTGTCCAATATAAGGCAACACTTCTATCAAATGGAAAGTCGCGAGCAACGCATGTTGTGCCATGTTCAAGTAAATTATGCAACCACGCCTACTCCAGCGCTGGGGTGTGCAGTGTAATATGGGTGCGCTCTCTCTCTTGGCGCCTTTTGGTCTTTTTCACAGTCTTCTGCCGATTGTCGGCGTTCACTTATGGTAAGTGTAGTTGACCTTGAGTATCTTATGCTTCATCCGCGGTCGAGATAGCCTACGAGAAAGAGGACTTTATTGAAGGCGCGCTTGCAGTTCAACTAGCACCTACGCTTTCGTTTTTGAACCCCATGACCCAAGGCTTGCAAAAGTGACATGTTCCTCCAATGCCTGCGGCGGAAATTCAAATGGGTCTCATTCAAGATGAAACTGGCAAACTTTGCAGAATTTTCGAAATCTCTGAGCATACGCACAGAACCCTTGGCGCCTTCTTCGTGAAAATATTGCACACGCCCTGCTAGTAAACGTAAAAGTAAAATGCAAAAATTATTTCATTTATTTCAAGGGACTGAGTTCAGGTATCTGAAAGGAAAACCCTTGGTCTAAGTTACATACTTGGGCCAATGGCAGCTGTACTAACTGTTCTAACCATACTTGGCTGTGTCCTGCTAGCGTTTGTGCTTCGCGGAAAACGTGCCCTCCATGGTCATTACAGTCCCAGCCACCAGGAACGAAACGGTGCTCGAATGCAGGTCAGTCAGAGCTTCAGCTGCCATCGATGACCTTTCAATGTGCTCATCTTCAGATGAACTCCATGGTCAAGCTGCCCCCTGAAGAACGGTTAATATAGAGACGTAGCGTTATATTTATATTATAACTGGTTATATATTGTTATATTATATTTACGTGCTTCATAGCCGTTATGTTGTCATATGCTCCAGTTGTCTTCCTACTCAAAATACGGGTAGTATTTGAGATGTATAAACATTTGTGAAATAAATATGAATCACTTGTGAATTGTGAATGGCATTCCTCATCGACATAACCCCAGTATTCTGGCAATTTCTGAGGGTCACGCAAGGCAATGGATACACAGTTTTGATGTTGGACCCGGCATAGCACCCTCCCTTTCCGCATGGGAAAGACCTGGGTCATGAACTTTCCTGTAAATGCAGTCACTACTGCAATAGAATAGGATCTTGTAGACCAGAGCTGCACTCCAGCAAGCAGTCCCCATTTTGATTGGGAAAATTAGTGGTAATAACGATAGTAGGGCAGCCTATCAGACCTAATACGAGATTGTTTTGTTATGATAACTGCTGTTTTACGCCGCAGTACGCGTTCCGAAAGTTATCACAAGAATGCTGAGTTGTGGGCAAAAGTCGTGCCCCAGGCGGGAGTCGAACCCGCACCTCACGCTTTCCGGGCGAGTGCGCTATCCGTTACGCCACCAGGGCCGCTTTTACCCTCTCAGCTTAACGGCTTTTATGCCGTAGCCTTACAGCACTCACACGTTTAACTTGGTGAGCCGGTCAGCCGTAATACGGCTAAGTGTAAGTGCTGTAAGGCTACGGCATAAAAGCCGTTAAGCTGAGAGGGTAAAAGCGGCCCTGGTGGCGTAACGGATAGCGCACTCGCCCGGAAAGCGTGAGGTGCGGGTTCGACTCCCGCCTGGGGCACGACTTTTGCCCACTGTATTACGGTTAAACACACATGGTACGAACACACATAGTTAGGGTGTGTGGTGTGCTATCAGCCTCCCAGTTGTCGAAGCGTAGCGGTTTCCCGTCCTAACATGCGCAGGAATGGAGATACAGGACCGTGAAACACGCTAATTCCTCCATGCTCCGCCCAATGCCTTTTGCGGCGCAGACTCCCGTTTATGCTAACAGCCGTCCGCGCGGCGCGTGTCGCGCGCAGCGCTCTTGGCACTTTGCCAAGTCCTGTAATTGCGCTTTGGAATACAAGTAAAACGCAATTTCCTGATGCGGATAACATTTAGGTGCTGCAAAATAAGAACCGAAGATGATGACGAGGGCCAGAACTCAAGAGCAACTGTGCTGCTTCTGCAATATCCCGGCCGCGCGAGGCCGCGCATTCCCACAAAACACAAATAAAAACGGCCTAAGCGTCCCACTCGTTAGTTTAAAGTATTTTTATGGCTTTGGAGCCGGAATCGCGCCGAATTGCAGAAATTTACACGCGATTTTGATTAATTTACATTTCAATGTTGCGTGGTGTATTTGAAGCTCTTCACTTGGTTAACACGTTTATTGGCGAGCTTTCGGCACGTAATGCCTTCGTCAGGCCTTAAATTACAGTGCTTAACATATAACAGCTACAAAAACAATACATCGAGATGTTTACATACCAGTGATGAAGGGACGGACCTATCAGTGGGGACGAGACATTAAATGACCCGCGCTGACATAACATTGAGGCACATAAGTGGGTCAAATGATCAAGCGATGAGCCCCAGGAGGCCTCTTTTGCATTGATTTCTGGCTTTAAGCGATGTATCTCCCGCGCTTCCATTATCTTCCTTTCCAGCGGTCGTACCAAGTGTCTGTGCAGTACACTCACGTCGAAGGACGGAGCATTATCATCCGCGTGCCTAAGTGTACGGTGCCGCGAGAAACTGCTTCGTGGGTAAGCAGCGGGGTTGGTCAGCGCTCTTCTGTGCTCGTCTAGACGATTCTTCAACGGTCGTGCGGTCTCCCCGACATATTTCTCTCCACATCCTCTGCACTGTATCAAGTAGACGGTGCCTTGGAGTTCACAAATCTTTTCAGATGTACAGTATCGGCAAGATTCTTCGTGACACCGGCTTTCATAGATTCTTGAAGATGTCAGGAGGGCTTTCAGTGTTGAAGATGTCAGGAGGGCTTTCAGGATTTTGGTACCGCTGCAAGCGCTACACTTTGAAAATAGCACAGGAAGAGTCCGGAAGCGGCACCAGGGCATCATAACCTCCCAGCCGCGCTGCCATGCACTTGCAGCGCAGAAAGTGGCACGCTACTCCTCCTGCAGACCAATTCACCTCGCAAATGGCAAGCACCATGATCGACGGAGGTGAGTGAATTTATTGTTTGCCTTCAAACGGTAGCAATTTATGAACAACGCGAAGTCACAACTCACCTGTTGTGCAAATACCAACCTACGATTTTTTTCAGCGATCTGAGTCACAGCGGGATTCAATGCTACAATGGCCATCGTCTTCGAGTTGCTCGCACCAAGATTGCGCGAAGAATCATTGTCAGCTTTAATTCTTCTTCTTCTTCTTCTGCTCTTCTTCCTAACGTTGTGCTTCGCTCCTTCGCTTGAGCAGAGTCCGTTCTTAGTCGCCACTTTGCTCGATCTAGTGCATCTTCTTTAGAGAGCGATTGACCTCATTTCCCCATTTATGGTGTCCTGCTAGCGTTGTTTTGGTCTTCCTCTCGGCCAGTAACCGTCCACTTCAAATCGAGATGCAATAGAAGCGACGGTATCACGCCCAGCTCGCAAAACGTAGCCATACCACTGGAGTCGACTTTCTAGCATATTCTCGGCAATTGATGCAACACCTATCTGGCATCTAATCACATCGCTACTGATTCTATCGAGGCGTGAAATGCCCATTGAGAGTCGGAGCATTCGCATCTCCATGGCGTAAAGTTGGCTTTGAATTATCGTAAGGAGATATGCTGGCTCTAAAACAGCACAGTAACGTTGATTATCATTAATTTCTTATCTTCTCTGATCAGCTCGCTTGAACACACAACACAAAATGCCCGTCATCGCTCATGCAACATGTGGCTTACTTACCTTTCACCTGACTTCGAATGCAAGTTTTGCAGATTGGACAACGCAGAGTTAATATGCGTCGCTCACTTGAAGCAGTCACCCTCAGCACCAGACTTTGGCCCGCTCACATCCAGCAAGTGTAGGCATGCATGACAAGATGCTCCTGATAACGATATTACGGTATAGCAGCGCGTGTAATTACTGAGCAACAAGTCTGAAATAGATAATACCAGAGGTTCTATTGTATCCTTGTATCACAAGCTCGAATACAGCGTGACTCCTGCTGGACTGCTTATTACATAAGCTATTTGAACGACTTTTGTCGTGATGGAGGTTGTGTTCCGAAAGTCCACTATGTTGGAGCAAATGTATTAGTTGTCCTTGGTCGGCCACCTCCTCGTCTTCGGGCAGCAGTACCAAAGGTTCGGAACGCTCTCCATGCACGTGAAACAACGCTGTGAGCGATACCGAACTCCTGGGCTACACTCGTCATGGTTCGACCTTCTTCGAGTTTCCCTATGATCCTTCCTCGAGTGAAGTCATCCTCTTCGGGACATGATGTATCGAAGGATACTACCACAGTTCTTTGCAGCTACTCGTTGATTGAGAAAAAAAAATTTTTTTCATACCCATAGACTGCCTCGATTTGCGCGGTCGGCCATATTTGGCACTTTCAAGCTCTTCTTCCACCGAGAAAAGTCTAGCTTCCTGTGCATATCCCTTAGGCGAGTGGCAACATGCTCCCACACTTTCATTTACTTCCACCCAGTCATTAGTGTTTATGTTACTTTATCCATCTCGTCCCTAAGTTTTGCACACCAGTGTAGTATTAGAGAGAGAGGGTGGTACCAGCAGTAACTTTAGGTAGTAAGACTTCCTTCTAGGCTTAGTACTCCTCTCCTCCTGGTAGATTGGTGTGACCGATCGAGATGAGAGGAAATGAGACAATCGTTTCGTTAAAGATCGATGCAAACTGATTTGTAGCACGCAGTGGCTCGCCGACCTCGCAATGGTACTTTCGAAAGGATAGGATCGCACCCCTCCATTTCCCTTGCTGGAGTGGAGCCCTTATGTGGCGGTTGTGTGAAGCAGTTGGCTTGCGTTTGGAAAGTAATTCTGCTTCCTTTTTAGAGAGCTGAGCTCGATGATGGGTTCTGCTTTTCTCTTGGCTTACATGTAAGTCTACTCGCGTCCGCTTCTTGAAGAGCTACAGAATAAGGAGTGGGATCTTTGTTGCACTTACAGTATTGTCCCTTTGATGTGCGTGATTTCGATTATTTGAACCATATCGTCATTACTTCTTTACTACCCATTACCATGATTCCTATCCATTTCATGCACACTCTTTGGCTTGACTTCCATCCGACATGCGCCAGGTGTATATAGGAGCCTGACCCATAGTTGCGACAAGTGTTTCTCCCGACGCTAGCATTGGGCTCTTGCTTGATGAGTAGGGACCGTGTGGCTTGGGGAAGCCTGCTGTTCAATACTTCAGCAATGCTCTACATTCCATGTGTTGTGACTTGATAGGGGTCCTCGCTTGTTAAACTGGCACTTCCTTGAATCGTGAAAGGGCCATCGACCGCTTCAGTGATGCCCTTCACTTTGACTCGTGCACCGCTTCATTTTTCTTCTTAATTGGCGTGCTGCAGAATGTTCCACAAACCGCAGAAAGGATCGGAAAGTTGACATACTCCAACACAGAGAAGAGACCCGAAGGGCGCGGACGAGCGTAAAAAGAGTCGCGCCACCAGGACACGGGCCAACGTGAGACGAAGTGAGTGACTGATCTGTTGTCGCATTGCCCATGTCCTAGAAATTATGTTTCATGAAAGCAGATGTGCCAGTTTCGATTTCGAATGTAGACAACTTCTGCAATGGCGAACTGTACATTTGAGCGTTCTAGCTTCACTTTATCCCGCCGTGCCCGGCCGGGCATGCCATGAAAGGCATCGGTTGTTCAAAAGGCTTGTGTTTGACATGAATGTGGTAGTCATCGAGGAGAAAAGTTTGAAGAGTTCCATCCGGTTGCTACTGGTGGCCAAAAGAATCTGCCTTCAGCTCGGC